GAGAGCGATAACTCTCGTTCTATAGTATAACCTGCGGCGTTGTGGTTTGGCTGCCAGGATGAACCCTATGCTGGTCACCTCGTTGATGCCCCCTCTTCCCCCCGTCGCCCCCCTACTCCCGAAAGCTCTCGAGGTGTAGCGGCTCCCTGCGGCGCGCCAGCGATGATCTCCTGACTGGCCTCATCGACGCCCGCGCATGCTCCGCTGTCCTACCTGCTTCCCATCTTCCCGCGGCCTTTCATATTCCGAGCCCGCAGAGACACGGCGCCCCCGCCCGCCCCTACCGTTCGGCAGCGGCTCGGCGAAATAATCCTCTGCCCCCGCGCCGTTCGCGCGCGGATTTGACGTCTGGCCCCGCGGCGAATTCGTTGACCGCTGAATTCGCGCGCCCGATCAACTACGGAATCAAAGCATTCTTTTGCAGGTTCCGCGCGATAATCGCCATGATCCTCGCGTGGCCTTGCGCCGTTCGGGTTGCTCTTCTGACGCCTCCGTTAGCTCGGGCCCCCCCCGCGGGGCCGACGGCGACTCCCATGCTGAGATCGCAGATCCCTTTAACGGCCTTCTGTAAGGCTGTGATGGCTGGCTCGCCGTCGCTCATGAGAACGACTTTCCCGTGGCCTCCGCGCAGCGTCGCGTCCGCCATGCCACTGGCAGAGCGCGGATCGGGCGCCCCTATCTTTTCATGGCGACTACTTCGCTCCATGTTAGCATTGAACCCAGGCGGCGCCCGACGAAGATGGCGCCCCCCCCCCGTCGCCCCCCTTTCTCTCGGCCGCGCATGGCCCGCAGAGATGGCGGGCATTCCGCGCCCGGTTCTCGCTGCATTTTCGCGCAGTTCCCTCTCCTCGCATTGCCTCTGACGCAGCGGGGGCGCCAACTGCGATCGGGTAAATGCGTCGCGCTCTGGTCTCAGCCATTCTGTCTCTTTGTCTCAAATCGGAATGCGCTCTCCTGGGTGACTCAACTTCCTCTGCGCTGAGCGCGCCCCCCCCACCCCCCTCGCTTGGCTCGCCGCCCCCGTCTCCGTCATCTGGGCGGCGATTTGCGAGAACTGGGGGGGCTCACAAGGGCGCGTCCTCCGCCGGGGTTTTACTCTCCCCAGAATGTCCCCCTTGCGCGTGGCTTCCTCGGCGGCCCCCGTGGGCCCTGTCGCCGCCCCCGCCGATGTTTCGACGCCGAACTAAGGCGGTCCTCCTCTTTCCTGCATCTGCCCGGGTCGCTCTGCGCCCCGTGCCGCTGCAAGGCCGCCCCGGCTAAATCCGGTCAAGCGCAATGCTGCCCCCAGCTTGGCCCCGATCCCAGTGCCTCTGTAAAATCGGCCACCTGCGCGAGCGTGCGCGCGGGGGCCCCTCGCCCGCTGCTGCCCGCGACCGCTTTTTGGCCGCGGCGTCCGACACTTGCGCCGTTAGCGGTGCTGTAGCGCCTCCCCGCTCGCTGTGCCTCCGCGGTTGCAACGGGGAAATAATCCCCCGCGCTCGCCAGCCCCGCCGCGTTGTCCTCGCCCGAATCCAGGGGGGCCGCGGCGATTTCGCGCGGCCCGAAGGCCTCGCTCCGAGGGGCGGAAAAAGCGTCGCGGCAGGCCCCGCGAGCTTCTACGCGCAGCGCTTCGGCGTGCTTTTTGTTTTAAACATGTGACCCCCCGCCTGCAAATCTTTATATAATGGAGCTCTGGCTTGCTAATTAGAGTCGCGGGAACAGCATGGGCAACAACTTTCTCTCCTGGTGCGCGGCGCCCACGCTAGTTTCTTCAGCCGCGGTTCCTCTTCCCTTCGCTGCATTGACGAGCCTGGCCATCTGGCCCAAGTGGGCCTCTGGGGGGATCCGCGCCCGCTGGGGGATGCTTTGTGCCCCGCTTGCTCCTTCGGGGCTAACTCTGGTTTCGTCTCATTGCGTTGCTCGACATCGTTGGTTTCTTCTTCAAAACATCGCGATGCAACGTGCCCCTTCTTTCCGCGTTTGCCGCGCTCGCGGTCGCGCGTTGGCGCGATGCCTCCTGTGGTCCAACCCCCAGCCCCCTTGTCTCCGCATTTTTTTTTTTGTTTTCCCCCCCCCCCCTCTCTCTCTCTCTCTCTCTCTCTCTCTCTCTCTCTCTCTCTCTCTTTCTCTCTTTCTCTCTTTCTCTCTTTCTCTCTCTCTCTCTCTCTCTCTCTTTTTTTGTTTCTTTCTTTTTTTCTCTTTCTTTTTTTTTTTTCTCTCTCTCTCTCTCTCTCTCTCTCTCTCTCTCTCTCTCTCTCTCTCTCTTTGTCCGTCGCCCCGTTCCCTTGGCGCACTGCCCGTGCGCGATTTTCCCAGCCTTGCCCCGGCTCTTCCCCTCGCTGCACTTCTCCGTCTCTCTTCCAGCAGTTTTCAGCGCATGTGGCACATGGGTCCTTCCCCCCCTTTGATCTTTGTCTTTGTTAACTGCGTCTGATCCTTCTCCTCCGCCGCGTTTATCCTCGCGCGCCCAGTCGGGCTCGATGGCCCGCCAGAAAAGCGCCCTCGTCCACGCGGCCCTCTGCGTCTCAACCATCATGGGAGGCCCAGATGCCACCTTGGTCGTCGCTGTCTCCACTGGCGCACCCGATGTCAATGGAGCCGTGAGCTCGCGCGTCGGCGTCTAGCCTCTTCTTGCGCGCCCAATGTTCGCACTTACCGTATATTTTATGCTGGTTTCCTGGCGTGAGAGAACTGGGCGTTTTAAGACTCTCCGGATGCCACCCCTCGAACGAGTCTCCTGCGTGAGTCATGATGGCCCTCGGCGCATTTATGCGACATTGCACAATTAACGAATGCGCTGGGCCGTTTTGTCCGAACGTTTCCACCAGTACCGTCCATTGTTCTAACTAGGCGGCGGCATCTCCGATTTTCTGATACTTGTCGGGGTTCATCGTTGGAGTCGCCTTTGGCCGACAGAGTCACCCCGGCAAGCGCGGGGCACCACTTGTAGATGTTCTGGTGCGCTGGCAGTCCGTCTTCTTTCCTGAACCCCTTTAACCTCCCTCTGGGCCGCCCCTTTCTAGCTTGCCGCTCAATGTGTAAACATGTCCTCGTGTAGTTTGCGCACCATCTCTTTGCTGATCTTTAACGCTTATGTTATCATCGTCCTCGTGCTGTTGTACTATGCTAGCATTTGCATGCTATGGTGCTGCTTCAAAGCCTTTGAAGATTCTAAGCATGTCGTCGTCGTCCTCGTCCTGCAACGGCCCCGCTATGGTCTTAAAGATTGTCACCCACGTTCTTGAAGTATTTCTGGTGCTGTGGGCTAACTTGGGCCAGGTCCCTTAGCAAGTTCTCGTTCCACTCATGGAACTTGGCTCTGTCGCCAGCGAACGTATTGAGCAGCCGGCTGTCCTTGAATATGCCAGCTGGCTTCCGATCGCCTCCCACCTGCTTTTGCCTTCTGCGATTGGCCCGGTTATCTTCGTCGCCCGGTCCATCAAGTTCTTCTGTGAGTTTGCTTAGTCCTCAAACCTGTCGAATCATAGCGCGAAAATGTGTGTCTCTCCTTCCGCGTACTTGTTACAGTCTACAATGCTTCAGAGTAGGGGGTCATTTCTTCAATCGTTAAAAACAGCCCGTGCATTTCTTCAGTGGTGACGGTCCTGACACCAGCTGCGGTCCCTCTCTCACTGGGCTCTCTCATTCCCTCGTGTTGAGCCCTGGTGCCACCTTCGCGTAACTATACTCACCCCATCACGCGCGGTTTCGCGTATCTCGCTGAAGTTCGCTGGCTGTGTGTTAAGCCATTGATCTCTGTCTTGGGGCGTGTTTTACTCCAAGAACGGATCACCTGGGTGAGCGGGTGCTGCTGCTGCTGTTGCCGCGGCTGCCGTTACCCTCGCTCCGTTACCATGCCAACCCTGAAGGAAGAATTGTACGGGGACGAGATCATGATTTTAACCGTGGGCGCAACTCTACGGATCAAGTGCTTAAGGCAAACAGCGTCGGTAGCGACTGCTGCCCGGCTTAACTGCATCACGATGGCCCTCACCACGTCACAGGCCCATGTTCTAACACCTCCTCCTTCTCCTCCTCGTCCGCTCTTTCCACTTTTTGCTCTTCTGTGTCCCCCGAAGCCCCTACAGCACGGCATAACCCATCCTCGAGCATCTATCCAAGAGCACTTTCTCCCCCTCCTCCTCCTCCACCTCCTCCTCCCTTTATCTCCCCATCTCCTCCTCCTCCTGCTCCTCCTCTTTCTCCTCCTGCTCTCCACCTCCTCCTCCTCCTCCTCTTCCACTCTTCTTCATCCCCTCCTGCTCCTCCTCTTTCTACCCCTGCTCCTCCTCGTCCAACTCCACTTGACCCTCTTCCCCTCAGGCCGCCCCATCCTCTTCTTCTTCCTCCTCCAACAGGCGCTCATCATCCCCCCCTTTCACCCCATCCTCCTCCTCCTCCTCCTCCTCCTCCTCCTCTTCCTCCTCCTCCTCCTCCTCCTCCTCCTCCTCTTCCGCCAGGCGCCCCTTCATCCTTTTCGACCTCCCCCCCAAGCTCGCCTTCGACTTGGGGGAGTGGGGTGGCGGAGGTGGAGGAGCAGGATGAGGATGATGAGGAGGCGAAGGATGCGGTGGAAAAGGGGGAACAGAGAAACAGCGTTTTGGGAGCCCCCAGGCCTTCCGAACAGTTTTCTAAGCCTTTCCCGAAGACGCAGAAACCCTCTCAGAATGCCCGAGAGCTTCTGAGAAGCCCCGCCGCCTTCTCAGAAGGGCTTCTCCTTCTCACTTCCCCTCCCGGCGCGCCGCCGATCTAATCCTCCTCGCCCTCGTCCTCCTGCCTACTCCTTTTCCTTTTTTTTTTTCTCCTCCATCTCCTCCTCCTCCTCCTCCTCCTCCTCCCTCCTCCTCCTGATTCCTGATTCCTGATTCCTGAAAGCATGCGGATCCCGCGGATGCTGTCCTCCTCCTCCTCCTCCTCCTCCTCCCCCTCGCTCTCCCTCCTCCCTCCCACTCCCCTACTCTCTCCTTCCTCCTCCCCCTCCCCCTCCCCCCCCCCGGCCAGCCCTGCCCCCCCCCCCCCACCAGGCCGCCATAGACGAAGGCGGCGGCGTCGACGAGGTCTCCGACCGCCAGCGGCGGCGAGGCTGGCCTCCCAGCGAGGAAATCCGCCCGCACCCGGGGGCGACGCAGGCGCGCAGCGGCCCCCCCCCCCTGTGGCGAGAGGCGCGGGCGCGGCCAACCCCTGGACCGCCGGAGCGCCAGGTCGAGGATCGCTGATCTTCGATCCTGGATCCTGGATGCCTGGATCCTCGATCGTCGAGCTTCGACCCTCGATCCCGGATCCCCGGCCCAAGATCTCCCCGCGAGGGCAGGGCGCAACCTGGGGGGGGGGGCTCTCTCTTGGGCTTGGGGCCCCCCTCGGGAGCGCTCTCGGGGCCTCTCGTGGGGCGTCTCTCGGCGCCCAAGCCTGGAGCCCCGTCAAGACGATGTTTGGGCCTGCAGAACTTGGCCACTCCGCTGTGGACCGCCCTGGAGCTCACGAGAGTGGCGAAAACTACGCAGCAGAAGGTAGCCCCCAGGGAGGGCGAGGTCCAGATTGAGTCTGCGTAAGGCCGCGTTCGTGTGGACCTTCCAGGAATTCACGCAGGAACCAGATCCTCCACACGCGGCCGAGCAATGCAGAATGCCATAGCGCAAGCCGAGTCCGTGCGGCAGATAGTCCCTGGCGTGTAATCGCTGAGAGGGCAGCAACGCAGCGCCGTGGAAACGCATGAGAATAACTCCATTGCGCTTAATACATCGACTCTGGTGGCCCAAGCCGTACAGCAAAGCGGGGCGCAAGAAACAAATCAGCACGCGTTTGTTTGGTTCCTGCACCGCAGCGTTGTGACAACAGCTTGTCAGCAAGACTGCCCAAAGAACGAACGCGCACGCATACGCAGGCGCACACGCACGCGCACGCACGCACGCACACACACACACACACATACACACACACACACACACGCGCACACGCGCACACGCGCGCACACCACGCACACACGCACACACGAACACACCTACACGCACCTATACACGCACACCCCTACTAAAGACGCACACACCTACACGCACACACCGACACGCACACGCTAACGCGCGCGCACACGCACACGGACGCGCACACGCGCACGCACGCACGCACGCACGCACGCACGCACGCACACACACACACACACACACACGCACGGGGGCCAGCAATGCAAACCTGAGAAGCCACCTCCTCCTCCTCCGTTTCGTCCAGCCGTGGACACCAAGGTGCGCCCAGAAGGCTCACAACATCGATCCTCGATCCCCTCCTCCGCCATCGCTAAAAGCCAACGCGCCACCATCCGGAACGCTGGCAAGTATCGAATGAGCTTCTCTGGCCACGGCACGTCTCTCGGCCACGCTTGGCTTGGGCTCCCCAGGAGGAGGAGGAGGAGGAGGAGGAGGAGGAGGAGGAGGAGGAGGAGGATGAGGTGGAGGAGGAGGAGGAGGAGGAGGAGGAGGAGGAGGAGAAGGGGGAGGAGGAGGCACAGCGAAAAAACGAGAGCCCCTCCTGAACCCAATGTGGCCCTTGCCCACTGCCCTCCAGAGGCACTCACGGAAACCCGAACGCCTACACGCGTCGGCCCTCCCCTCCCACCCCGCAGGGGCCACGACAGGGGGGCACTGGCTCGGGGGGGGACGCATCGACCTGAATTTGGCGATGCATCGCCGGTCGATCGGCGATGGGCCCCCGATGGCGATGAGTGGGCAGCTGGGGGTCGATGACGCTACCCCTGCTCTTCCTGCTCCTCGGGCTTTCGTCGCCACCTCTCGTCTGGGGTGCGGCGGCAGCCGTGCGGGATACTGCTCTGGCAGCGCGGTCTTGTACCGCAGCTGCTTCACCTCGGCGGGGGAGGCGAAATAGCGTTGGGAGGAGGAGGAATATGAGGAGGGGGAGGAGGAGGAGGAGGAGGAGGAGGAGGAGGAGGAGGAGGAGGAGAAGAAACAGAGGCAATGCAATGCAAGGACTGCGTCGGGCCACGGCCCGATGCTAAACTCGACACCTACACACATCAAAGGGGTATGACGAGATATAATAGGCACGACCTGCAGTGCAAGGAGCCCCTAATTGCCCTCGCTCATCCTCGAGCGACTACAGACGACGAGTTTCTAGAAATTCAAGCTGGTCTAGCAAGCTCAGTTTGCTAGATTCAACTGAGACGCGATCGCTACATCATTGTGGCGACTTGCGCTGGCTTGCAGGCTGGAGGGAGGGGTCGAATTGGAGGGAGAAGGGGGAGGAGGAAGAGCACGAGAAGGAGAGGAGGAGAAGTACACCACTCGATAAGGAGAGCAAGTTGAGGGAGGTCCCGAAGCCACTCCACCACGCTGGCCGCGGGGCCCGCCCAGCGGCCAGCCAGGGAGAGGAGCATGCCCACTCCTGCAGCAGCTGCAACAGGCAAGCAAGCACGTGTCGATGAACAGCGCGTTGAGCTCCCAGCCTGCCCTCTCTCACTTCCCCCCCATCACCTCGCCGCCGAACTTAGGTGCCCCCCGCGAGGAGGAGGAGGAGGAGGAGGAGGAGGAGGAG